TTAGTAAATATGTTGTCTTCGTAGCATTGTCAGCGGAAGCAAAAACGGAATTGGTAATCCAGAAATTTTTCAACCACTGGTGAAGGATTATGGACATCCCTTGACGATTGTGAGTGACAGAGATTCACGATTCACAAATGAACAATGACAGCAACTAATGAACATTTATGACTCTAAGTTGACTATGTTGTCAGGACGACACCCTGAGACAAATAGCCAGTCTGAGCAAATGAATAAAATTTTGCAGCAGACGTTGCGCATGTACATACGTTCCGACCAGGATGATTGGGACGAGCATTTGCCCAAAGTTGCTAGTGCCTATAATAACTCTATTCACCTGTCTACATGCAAGACTCCTATGGAGTTGCATTTGGGATGGCGTCCACACAGACCTATCGATCGGTTGAACCCGAATCAAGTGCATAAGCTTCCATTAGGAACAAGTGAATTTGCGATACAATATCAGAAAGATATTGAGAAAGTGAAAGAGAATATAATAAAGGCACAACATCAGATGATAGAACAGGCAAACAAGCACATGAGACCTTCTCAATTCGCTATAGGTGATCTAGTATGGGTTAAGTCTAAAGAGTTCATTCCTGAAGAAAACATCTCTCAAAAGTTACTACCCGCCTACAGAGGACCTTGGCAAGTTTTAGATGTGATTGGAGATCTGGATGAACCTTCTTATGTGATTGAGATTCCTCTGCATTTACATACATATTCAATGTTTCACGCCTCAAAGCTCTTACCTTGCATGACAAATGAGTTATTTCCCAGTCGCAAATCGGCGATACCTCCTAGTATAGATGAGAAATATGATCTGGATAAGATGGTTGTTGAAGGTACTCTTCAGACTGGACGTAGAGGCAGACCCCAACGACAATATAAAGTAAGATTTGCATATCAGGACCCCTGTGAAGATCGCGGGTTCACAAGAGAAGAATTGATTGAGTCTCCACCTCATATTGTGTCTGCTTACGAAAGAGCAAGAAGAGGAATAAACATTCTAGATAGATAAAGGTTTATCTCATAGGACTTTGACTAGATCGGCGAGAGTAAAAAGGTCTTTACCCGATTCATACCCTGGATGACGAATGCATCATTATGGGGGCACTCGACCAGAGCCTAACTCGTGAAAAGCAGATCAAAAGACATGTTCTCTGGGTCAAAAATCACATTCTAACTAAGTGAAGAGATGTGCCAAAGGTCACTGTCGTGACCCAGGACGAACAGTTGCAACATTCAATTGAGAGGGTCACATCTGTTTATCCAGGGGGTGTGCAAGTCATGTCTGTTTGTGCAGAAGATATGCCTGTTCGTACAGTAAAAGTGTCTGTTCGAGCAATAGATGTGTCTGTTCGTGAAGGAGTCAAAAAAACAAAGGTCCCAGTCCATCTTCAAGTCATAAGAGAAGTCTAAATACAGACTGGAAGTCCGAAATTCAGGCCTAAAGACCGCCGCAGCAGCGGACCCTGAGGGAAAGGTATTGGGACACATTCTGCAGTGGTTTCGGACTGGGGAAAGACCCAAGGAGGACTGATTCAGACCTCGCAAAGGGAGGCCAACACTATAAGAGACCAGGCCAGCCTCCCTACACGACAGATTTTCTATTGGCATTGATGCGTGGAAGTGTTGTGACACTTGTGCGCTAGAGTGCAGGGAGAGAGCGCTGACTTGAGAGTTGCGCCAGAAAGGAGATGTGCTGGACGCTGACTGGCAAAAGTAGCCATAGCTGCGCCAGCTATATTAATAGAGATAAAAAAGTTCGTAACAGGTATCAGTCAGTAATATTCAGAGTAAATTCTCGTAAGTAGGGAGTGTGCATGCATGATGAGACGAGAGAATCAGAACAGAGATCTTGAAAGAGAAGAGAGAGAGAGGACGAGTTCTTAAGTTGGATATGGTGGATACTTACTTGCTGACGCTATACCTGTGATCTAGGGAATACGCTGGCTGAGCCAGACCCTATGACGATGTGTGATTAAAGGAGGTTTGTGAGCTGTTGGTCCTAAACTCATGAATTCGAGATACTCTTTATATAATGTGATTTTGATAATATGAGTTGCGCTATCTGGTTTTCATCTCATCTCGATTTGGCTTTGTGTAAACTTCTCTATCTGTGTGGTGACATTTATGCATGTGATGTGTAACACTTCAGCAAACTGTGAACAGTCAGGTTTCTTGCATAAGTAAAAAAAAAAAAAAATCGTCAAACATGAGTGTGTTTAAATTATGTCCGCGAATGCACTAGTTTTATGGTCTTCATTTTATTTTTATTTTTATGCTTTTTATTTTATTTTTATTTTTATGTTTTTTATTTTATTTTTTATTTTATGATTATTTATTTGTTTTACGTATTTTATTTGTATCTTATATTTGATAAACATTTTGGATATAACGCTGAAGAAATGTTGGTCATATTATTTTTCTGCACGTTCTGTCTGAACGACTTAACAAATTTACAGTAGGGCCCGAACGTTCGGGCGTTGGGGTTCGAACATTCGGCTTCGGACAAACGCCGACTACCATATGTATTTATTTTTTCATATTTTATTTGTATTTTATATTTGATAAAAAATTTTGATATAACGCTGAATAAATGTTTGTCATATTATTTTTTTGCATGTTCTGTCTGAACGACTGAACAAATTTACAGTGGGGCCCGAACGTTCGGGCGTTGGGGTTCGGGCGTTGGGGTTCGGACGTTCGGCTTCGAACGAACGCCGGCTACCAGATGTGTATATACATTATCCGACTTTTGTTGGACCTTTATATATATTATATAAATATATAACATATATATGAAGTTGCTCCAATGTTTCAAAAACGTATTTAGTTCTATATAAAAAATACCAAAAATAAGTTTTTTTTATCGTTTGTTACGAACTAATTAACAAATCAACCTCTTTTATTTACTCATCGTTTGATTGTTAGATTCAAAAATAGGAAAAAACAAAACTATCAGATTGTTTTTAGCACATACATATATATATATATGTATATTATCATTTTTTTTTTTGACCTTTACATATCATGTATGTGTGTATGTGTGCTCATATATGTATAAAGAAGCACATGCATCTGTACGTATTTTTGTGTTTAGAAGTTTGTGTTTGGGTATTATTCAAATGTTTCCATTGGACATGCACCGCCAACTGTGTGTGGAGAGAGAGAAAGAAAGAGAGGGAGAAAATAAAATAAAATAATAATAATAATAATAAAAATATATATACACGTGTGCGTGACTGTTACTTCTGATGTCAACGGATCGATGATGACGAGAGTGAAGTATGCGCTATGACCATAGATATATACACATATATAAATATCTACATATCTATCTATCTATATATATGTATATATACATATATGTATATATATTTGACGATATATATATGTATATATATATGTATATATATGTATATATATATACATATGTAGATATTTATATGTATATATATATATATATTAATGACGATATATATATATATATATATATATATATATATATATATATCGTTGAACCACTAATACCTCCGCCAGTGTTGGAAAATTACAATGTCTTGGCCAGTACCCGAACTTTTCAGGGGTGGGACACAGGGTCGGTAATGTCCCATAAATCTAAATTTTATAGTACTGCGAGTGAACGAAAAAAGAAAAAAAAAAATATTTTCTCTACTGCAATGATGTCGGGATGGGTAGTCCAGGAGGCCGTGCTCACAATCTTCCCCCGCAGAATGCACCTTACAGGTAAGGCGGTCACATTCTGAATATTACTGTTTTTTCTTTTTTTTTTGTTGTGTATTTCTTATGAGTCCCTTGTCCGTGAATTGCTCAAGTTGTCCGTGATCTGCTCAAGCTGTATTTTGTCAGAGGATTGTAAGGCTCATCACACCGACACTTAAGGGAATGTGGCCAACCATTTTCACGGGCGGATCCATGTGCCTGTTTTTTTCCCCTTTTATTATCTTTTTGGAATCTAACAACTTGGCCACGGGGCTGAGATGCCCTTATTGAGGGCACACTCACACTACCACTTCCAAGAATGTAGACAATTGCAATCACTACCCAAACTTTGTTTTTTTTTTTTTTCTTCTTTCTTTTTGAGGTTCATGGCCACAACCATTTTTATTTTTTATTTTTTTATTTCTGTGAGAGTACTAAAAAGAAAACGGAGTGGTACCCAAGCTCGGCAAACTCGGAGCGCAATGAAATTCAAGGTTGGCAAAAACAGGCTCGGAGATACTAGTGGTTTAAACAAAGTTGCATGGTAAAACGTAGGCATGGAGGGAGAAAAATACAACAAACGAGGAGCTGTGACAAACTGTTTCGTCGAAGTTTCTATCTCTCTCTCTATATATTTACAAACACACAAAGAGAGAGAGAGAGAGAGAGAAGAGAGAGAGAGAGAGAGAGAGAGAGAGAGAGAGAGAGGAACGATTGCAGCGGTTACTGTCGAACCCTTGTTGGCAGGTGTGCATCCTCCGCTCCATCGCGGCCCATGGAAGCTGCGCGGTCCGCGAAGAGGTCGTTCGCTTTGCAGACCCGCTATGAAGGACTGGATGCTTCGTCGGCCGACTTCCCACGTCGGACCCTCCATGGTAGGGCCCGAAGGCCTCTTCGACAAGGCGGCCCTCATCCATGAACAAACCTGGACTCCCCGTTGTCCAGACTACTTGGCCCACAGGGCCCGAAAAGGAAATGTTTTTATTGTCATTTTCTCGGAGGCCAACCCTCCGCGGGACCTCCGAAAACCTGGGGAAAATGGGAAAACTGCCAGTTTTCCTATTTTTCCCAACATGAGCGTAGCACCAGTGGGGCTGTCCCTCCGCTTCTCAGCGGAGGCCGAAGTCCTCGGTCCACGCAGTGCGCGCGGCCATGAAGTGCTCCTAGGCCCTCCTCGCGGACGCTGACCTCCCTCGCAGGGGAAGTGCATTGCGCGTGTCCGGAAATCCTAGGCCAAGCCTATGGGTCCCCACCCTGCGGACTCTGGCGTGCGGGGGAAATTTCCAGGGCTATTCACACCCTTCTATCCCCTTTTCTTCGCGCTACTGGAACTAGTAGCGTCCAGGCCGCTCTGGGGCTCTCGAGGGAGGCCAGCTGAATTGTGGTCGAAAATTTTTTCTCGGCTCCCACGCGCCTACGAACTCAGAGCGATGTCCCATCGCCGAATACTTAGGCACTGCGGAAAATTAAGGGCTTCTCTTTGGCAGTGCAGTGTTGTCCGATTGTGCAGCCATAGTCCGCCATAGCCAGTAGTAAGCGCGGTAGGTTTTCGTGCAGCTCGCAGCCATGGCGCTCTCTCAAAAGGAAGCGGATATCCAGATGATGCTAGCGGCGGATGTCCATCTTGGCACAAAAAATTGCGATTTCCAGATGGAGCGATACGTGTGGAGGCGGCGAAATGACGGTGAGCTATCATTTCTTCGACTCATGCTCATGTGACACCTAATTGATCGCACGGCTATGCCTATGTGATGCTTCGAGACTTCAAGAAACTGGAAGATCCTTAACTATTGTTGTTTCTCCCTTGTCTGCTTGTTATGTGACGTGCTTGGTCATCCGAGTCGCCAGAGTTGCTTGTGATCGCCCGAAAGCTATGGATTCTTCCTGTCTCATCGATCATAGTTGTGATTGCCCCACCGTCGGTCCCCCGGCGTCCTGTCTTTCCTCTGCGCGTTCATCACACGCTCATTAAATTCCTCTGGCCGGGAACATCAGCGGTGGGGACCGCTTGATCGACCGGCTTGTCTAATGACAACAGTTGTTTGTCCGTCCTAGGTCTCGATGTGACTCTCGGCTCCTTCTTTAACTTATCTTCCGCCAGTCTCTTCTTGTGTATTCGTCTTGGGTCGGACGTTTCGTTGCTGGAAGGCAGATAAATATGAAATAAAATTAGTTCTACTCGCGCTGGTTTGCCTCCGCGGGTCTCAGCAGTATGGAAGTAGTTGGTTCGTTCTTGTTAGTTTGCCCTAATTGCTTCTCAGATGGCTGTTGCGCGATTGTTTTTTTTTTAAGTCGTGGTGGTAGGTTGGGAATGAGATTACTCTTGTTTTCTTGCTGTTGTCTATTTCTCTAGTTGGCAGGTGTTTGGCTGATTTCTCACCCTTCTTCCTCGTCGTGGTGATTTGAATAAAATAATTAGCCATCGGATTTTTTTGAGGTAATACCTTGAGCTTCTGCCTATGCATGTGTTCGCCGTCCAATCCTTTTTCACTGCTTCTGTGATTTTCACCGTTCGGCTTGTGCCCGTCCAGCTTAATGTCGACTTTATGCCGACGGTTCAGAGAGCATATTCCTTGTAATCGGTCGGTGGTGCGAATTCACCGTGCAGTGGACGTGTTCTACCTTTTTTTTTCTCTGTTTTTTTGTGGTAGTTCTTGCTTCCGTCTTCATGTGATCTTTTATCCTACCATTTTCATCCGAATAGATCGCCCGGTCATTTCGGCTGATTCTGGGGCAACTTGGAGTTTGCTCGCCATACAGCGATAATGGCCTGGCGTTCTATTCGGGTGACGGCGGTAGCTGTCTTCAAGATCCTAGTTGAGGTGTTGTAATCGTTTTCGTTCGGTGTTAAGAGCATATATATTCATGTTTCGCCTTTAAAATATCAGGTGTTCCCTCCTTAGGGTATGGTGAATGTGTACGTTCTCTTTAGCAATCGTCGTTCTAGTTGAGTCCTTGGCCTTGCGATTTTACTGACCATTGTGTTTCCCTTGCCACTATTATGACCTTTGTTTTTTTTCCCAAACGGCTCGACTGGCCATGGTTTTGCTTGCTTCTGCGAATCTGCCGAAATCATGTCTTTGTTGAGGAATATTGCGCCGAGCATTTACAGAGGGCGAGGCGTTGACGATAGTTTTTTTGTTGAGACAGGCAATAATCCGACAATGGAATAGGGTGGGGATGAAACTGGAACGTCTCTAATGTGGGTGAGTACTTTTGTCAATAGAACGACTACAGAGACGAGAGAGCGGTTCGATGAGCGAGATAGCAGCTGTGAGGGTATGTTCGCACTTTGTTGTTTCACGGGAAGACACATCGAGGAAAGCCCGTATTGTGGAAGTGCCCCAATGAGTCCGGTTACCAACGGTCGAGCGAGCAAGCTGTACGGGCATGTCTCCACCCCAGCTTGTTGGGATGAAACAGCATTTGCCGCCGCGCGATACTTGAAGGAAAGCCCTAGCGTCTTCATGCGAATGATCACTGGGTAATTAGGGGTTCAATGACCGTTTTTTTTTTTTTCTGGTGAAGACGGTAGTGTGAACCGGACCCAGACCGGAAGGCGTTAATACGTGATTTCTTATGCTAGAGTAGCACCGTAGAAATGGTAGACGTTGGTAATGGGATAAAGCAGGCGGAGTGAAAGCGGGACAACACATGGAGACGGGAAAGTGGTGGAGTGGGCCTTAGCTGCCTTCCCGCGGCGCGCACGGCTTCCCAGTTTTGATCGGAAAGTCTTGAAACCCTAAGCCTTACTCCTTGACCTGAATGCGGAATTTCTGTTCGGCTATGTTTGTCATCTTCTGGGGAGGTCTCCGTCACATTTACATAAAATAAGTTCTCCGTTTTCGACTTGAGAGCTGGTGGAAAGCTCTCCGTGCCATGGGGTAACTACCCATTGCTGTCATCTTCATCCGAACCGAACGCGGGGTCTTGAGAGCTGAATGTGGTTCACTTTCAGTGCAGATACAGCGATAACGACTGGGGTTTCAATTTGGCTGAGGGCGGTAGTCTCGTCTCCCAATCACGTGGCATGTGGAAGGGTAGCAGAAACCCTAACACTATCAAGATTGAAGCTTCACCCCTGTGCAAAATAAAGTTTACATCGTTTCCGTAGGATCGGGCAAGAAAAGCGATGATGTATGGGATGGGGTTTGCATTATCACGGTCAGGTTTGCATTATTACGGTCAGTCATTTGACTCTTGACCTAAGTTGTGCTCGATTGGTAATCACTGGAAAATTGTTAATGGTGGCAAAACCGAATGGATATGCGTCACGGCTGTCTAGTTCGCTGACGTTGTCGCGTGCTTTTGTCTGTGGGGATGATTGGGGATGACAATCCCCTCTTCTTTGTTGTGGGCGTTGGCCCTCTGCTCGAGAGGACGTACCCTTGCGCCGATATCAAACAGACGGACAGGATGGCAGACAGACAAACAAAAAGACAGACGTACAGACTAAGAAAGGCAGACAGACAGACTGGTGCAGAGGGGCGCACAGAGAGAGAGAGAGAGAGAGAGAGAGAGAGAGAGAGAGAGAGAGAGAGAGAGAGAAATGGTGGAGGTCATTACGGTGAGATCTGCTAAAGCCTAGGAGGCCATTACGGGTAAGATTGCGAAACTTCTGAAACTGAGTCAGCGGATCAGCGGAAGATAGATGAAGAGGTGGAGCGTTCTATGAGAGTCGTTTCTTTGGAAAGGAGTTAGCGAGTCTGATGCTATTGACGTTTCCGAAATGCAGGGATTGTAATTCCGTCAAACTCGATATGTTTTGTGACTGTAATGCAGGGATCTATATTATCAATTTGGGAAAGACGTGGGAGAAGCTTCAGATGGCTGCGCGCGTCATCGTCGCTATTGAGAACCCACAGGACATCTGTGTGCAGTCTGCACGTCCTTATGGCCAACGCGCGGTGCTGAAGTTCGCGCAGTACACTGGTGCTCAAGCATTGGCGGGAAGACACACTCCTGGAACCTTCACCAATCAGATTCAGGTCAACTTTATGGAGCCCAGGCTGTTGATTCTGACAGATCCGCGCACAGATCAGCAGGTATGACCATCGAACCAACTGGGCGTGTGGTCAATTGTATCTTATGAGGTTAATTCTGTCGCTCGTCTTGAAGTAATCCATTCTCCTGCTTGTTTCCTCTTCCTCTCCCTGTGAAGTACATGTTTCAATTGATTCGACCTGCGCCGTTTATTTTGCTGTTTCTCTGCCTTAAAAGACGATCACTTGCACTCCGGAATTGATAGCATTGTTCGAGTATGACTGGGGACAACTTCTGGAGAAATGAGTTCTGTGTCGACACACTGAGAGCTAATATTGGCGGCTGCGAACTTCTGCCTTCCTTGTTTTGCTCTTTTTTGCTCAGAAACCGCTTGTTTCGCTATCGATCGTCTACACCCTGCTTGTTTCACTCTCTCTGCTTAAGATCCCATCAATTCCACTCCGGACCTGGTAGCAATCTGTATTGTAGGGGACGATTTTGGGAGAACGCAATGCTGTTCTTGAGCACTGGAGGTGATATTGGCGGACTCTGCGTGTCACACGCTAACACCATTCGATCCCATCGTGGCCGTGCCAGACGTGAAAAGATCCTATCTGATTGTTCATACCTTAATGTGAATGGATTGTGATCGAGAAAGATGAGACTGATTGATATTCCAAAGGAGTGTGGTGTTTCGATGAAGCATAAACGCGCAAGTGAGCCTTGACTGATCAGGAAGGGGAATCTTGCATGCGTAGCTATGTCAGCGGCAATGCACTTATGCATAATGCTAGTGTCATTCTGGTGTTTATGATCGTTTGTGCGCTGTTCTGTCTTTGCGGATTTACTAGTAAACGAACTTCTCGTACGTGTTATGTGTGCTCGAACGCGGGTTCTTAAGTCTATTTATTGAAGGGACTCTGTTCCAGAAACAAAGTGAGGTGCGCGAGTCTATTTATTGAAGCGACTCTGTTCAAGAAACAAAGTGACGTGCGCGGATTGCTGGGCTAGCTAAGTCGAGTGTTCGATCGGTAAAGGACGACATGCGAAAGGCAGCAAGCACAGATCTTAACGTAGAAACATAAGCATAGTCGAGGGTCAAGGATTGGGTATCATCATAAGCATAGCCGAGGGTCAAGGATTGGGTATTATCTTGGGGCGTTCGTGAATATGGGATTGGTGACACTTACAAAGAAAATGATAACCTTTCATCTTGTCTCTCTGTGTCTGTGTTGAGCTGTTCGCTATTAACGAGACGAGGAAAGCATCACTGTGGCAGGCCGTTTCATCGGGCTGTTGCCGGCATATTAGGAAGTTCGAATCCAGATAATTTATGCATATGTGATGCTTGGACTGCTTGATAAGGACTCACTGTTTTGCCCTATGTGTATGTGCGTCTCTTTTGTATATGTGCGCGTATGTTTGTGCGTGCGTATGGTTGTACTTTTCTCTCTATGGGTTGATATCTGTGTGTGCGGGTGAGTGGGTGCATGAGTGGGTTTGTCTGTTTGTCTGGGGTGTGGACTTAAACGATTGGAAACTCAACAGCCTATCAAGGAGTCGTCTCTGGGCAACATTCCGACGATCGCTTTCTGCGACTCTGATTCTCCGATGCGGTTCGTCGACATCGCCATCCCTGCGAACAACAAGGGAAAGCACTCGATTGGATGTCTGTACTGGCTTCTGGCAAGGATGGTGTTGCAAATGCGAGGCACTGTGACGGTCGAGCGGCCATGGGATGTTATGGTCGATCTCTTTTTCTATCGCGAGCCTGAGGAGGCGAAGGAGCCGGCCGAGGAGGAGGGCGCCCCAGCTGTTCCTGATTTCGCTGCGCCGGAATTCACGACGGCACCTTTGTTGCCTGCAGCGGTCGACCAGGCACAGTGGGAAGACCCTGCAGCAGCCGCTGCCGCTGCTGCAGCTGCTGGGGCTGTTGTGGCCGCTCCTGTCACGTGGGACCCGGCCACCGGTGGGGTGCCACCTGTCGCGCCTGAGTGGGCACCTGCTGCGGTGCCAGTTGCTACGACCGGCTGGGATGCTGCTCCCGCACCTGTGGCTGGCGGCTGGGAACCAGTTGCCGTACCCCCTGTCGCTGCCACGGGATGGGATCCCGTCGCTGTTCCACCTGTTGCCCCTACCGGCTGGGATGCGCCTCCTCCTGCCCAGTGATATTAGCGTTGTTGAGTGAATACGTCGAGCGGCGAACTCGTTGTTGTAGCCTTGACAGAGTGATTTCTGTGGTCGTCGCTTGCGTCTAGTTCTCTAATTCTTCTTTCCTTAATCGCCTCGGATTGGACCGTGAAACATCGGTTGACCATTCGCCCTGCTGGTATTATCTCATAGGTATCCGTTATGATGTGTGTTGGATGCGGCAAGTTGACGAGAGTTCAATCCAAAACCAGTTTTGCTCGTGAATTTGATTTAGTTACCCTCGAAGATTGGGTGGATCGTCATCTATGCATGTTTGTGTAGCCTGCTTAAATGCATTCACGTTTTTTCTCTGGATTGTGTTTGTTTTTCTGTGTTGTGCGTATGTCGGAGTGCGCAGAACAGAAATGCATTGAAACAGAGAAGCGCTGATGATTTTGAACAATTTTAGGGTGTTGTAGCACGCGTGTTCTACCTGCGAATTTGTGTTTGTGTGTTGCCATCTTCGCTATACACGACTCTCCAAGCAAAAGCCTGAATGTGACAGACCGTTCCGGTCGACCTTTTGTGTTTGTATCTGTGTTTGTGTGGTTGTGCTTGTGTGTGGTGTGTGTGTGTGTGTGTGTGCATGATGATGCATAATCGGTATCCCTTAGACGATAAAGTACTCGATTTGTCCTAACGAAGGGACTCGCTTTGCGATCGATGTCCGCAGAAAAAAAAGGCGTCCTATTGTTGCCAAGGGGTGGCATGCTTGGGCAATATGAGAACAAGCCTATGAAGCAGGGGGGTTGTTGTGGACTCTACTAGCCCTGTTCATTGGCTCATTCATGCTGGGCTCGAGGATGACGCACATGGTGTAGGAGGTTCCGTGTGACCGGCGGATGATGGGTTTGTAGTCTTGGTGCGTACGTCCTTTGCAATTGGGACTTGCCCATTGTGTCGTCTGCCCTGAATGTATCTTGCGACGAAACGAGAATCAAACAAGTGTATCTGGCAACAAAAGGTGTGCAAGTTGGACCTTGCCTCAGATGTTTGTGAAATCGAAATCCACGTCGGATATTTCAAATCGGAACGCCAAGCGATATCATATACTAGATAAATTTTGAGTGGGACCTCGTTTTCCTCCTTTGCTGTGAAGGAGAAGGATGGGGGAGGTGGCAAGCCAAATTGCACACGTCATTGAGAACGACGAAATGAAAACTTCTGCTTCGGTAGTCGCCTATGTTAAAACGTTTGAGCAAATCTCTACTAAAAACGGTAGTTAAACAAACATTGGAGTGAATGTTTGCGGTCAATCCATCCGGTCGTCAACCCGTGTCTACGATGCCGATTAACGGGGTTGCAGCCGACATATTGTATTCGATGCAGAAGAATAATGTCTTCATCGAATAATGTCTGCTTCGGTAGTCTTCGGTGCTATTTTTCAACCTATCGAGTAGATGAACGAGCGTCGAGGTCATAGCCTAAATAGAAAATTAAAATTATGGAGGGAAAAAAGAGAACAAGATGCGAAGATCTGGAATTTATTCACAGTGATGATTGGGTCAATTTCGATCATCGCCTGCAGTATACACAAAGAGAGCGAGGAGATACGTGGCTTTCCGATGAACCCCGTCATTGCTCCAACTCGTCGCAAGCTCTCCTGAAAGGTCTATTTGTTGCGCGCTCCTTCCGAATTCCTGCTTACGCCTCTCCCTCTACTCCCCTCGCTCTCTCTCTCCACCCTCCAAGCACGTCGTTGCAGCTTCTACTCATGAAACGTTCCCTAATGTAGCATCAGCTGCCTTTGCCTGACATTCGTTTAATGAGCTTCAACTACCTCTGCCTGACGTTGGAAATAGATCCAAGGGAGAGAGAGAGAGAGAGGTGCGCAGATGGGCATGGATTTCTCCTGGTTGAGCTTGGTTTTCTTCTCCGGTCCACAGTCATAATGCCCCACACTGATCACAGCCAAGCGCATAGGACACATCACGTGGAGGAAGTCCGTGCATCTTATTTCCCTATCTGTCTCACAAGCGCATACACAAACATACTCCCTCTTGAAGGTCTGTTCCAACAATCTTTTAGGATTGCGTGTTTGGTGCTTGTGAAGCCGACCATTTCGTCGGCGGTATTTATTGCTAACTCTAGGCTACCACCAATCTCTACAGGAACCCCTCCACCAATCCGGTAGTTTCGGAGGGTTTTCGCCCAACCACCTGCTCTACCCTACTGCACCAAGCTCTCCTGGGACAGCGAAAGCCAGAAAGCCGACGAAAACGCTCATGCATTCATTTGAGCACTGTTTTTGGCTCTGGCAGTGGATGACGTGCACATGTCACAGCATGAAAACATTGGAGCCGAATTTGAACCAGGCTTGTGTCACAGAAGGAAACTGAAGTCGGCTCAAGGGACATGACTGCCCGTAATCGTCTCTTCTAGTGGTTCTGCATCTATTCCCCTCTCTCTAGAACTCTTTCGGCTGATGCTGTCTTCGGGCCTCGCTCCACTACTCTCGAAATGTGTATAACGAGAGTGAATCTTCCGCTAGAACGTGAGGAAAGATGCACCGCTATTATTTTTTATCTTTTGCGCATGTCGAGAGTAGTGGAGCGACGCCCTATCACTCGCCCTTCCGGACGGTCCTGTGGGCCTCTGCTGGGTTATCGTGTGTAAAGATGTACTCGAGCTACCCACGGTCAGTCCCTCGTAGTTTGGCTTGGTCATTATCTGACGTTCCGGAGATATGACATCTCCCTCTCCTTCTCCCTCTCTCTCTCTGTGGTGTCTGTCTCTCTCTTTCAGGCTGTCTTCGGGTCACCTTTCGTCCGCCCTTTCTGTGCGTGTCTCCGCCTCTGTGTTGCACGTGTCTCCGTCTCTGTGTTCTAATTTCTTCTGATTTGCGACGCAAGTCTGGTGATCACTAATGGAACAGTGTTGTCAATGAGAACTAACTTTGACCTGGACGCGCGCGGGATAGTGGATCTCTGAAACGTAATCTGTCATCACTCATGCCACAGTCGCTGCCTGTTGGTGTTGCGCATGACGAACTGCTGTTGTCGTCGTGGTCCACCCATATGGGAATCGGTGCAGGTTCTGTGTAACCATCTCTGTTATTTCAGTCCATTCAACGCACCTTGTGTGTTCGGTTATAGCCAGTAATCCCAGCAAATAGAATCTTTTATGTCACTTTCTTCTTAGCTGGATGTCGGGGTTCTTCAGTTGTGCTATAGATGCACTTCAGTGGACGTGCAAGGTCTAAGAAGAAGCGGTGCAATCGTTGTTAGACTCACCGTACTGAGCAATAAATTCTTCCTCTGTGCTTCCTGATTCCATCATCTCATCCTCGTAATGCTGCTTCTTCGCTTAGTCAGCTATCATTCTCCACGATATCACCCGGGGCTTACATCTAAGATTCTTCGTTTAAATGGACAGTCCATTAGACGTAGTCCATTTAAACGTCACACAGCTTCGTAGTCTGCCTACCTTTTTTTTTCTTTTTTTTGGGCTTGGTGGTTGCGGGAATATCGTTTTTCTGTTCTTTTTCTTTTTCGTTTCAATTTAACACCCGTCGGGGCTGCTAGGGGCGTTGATATGTGCCCCCTTTCCAGCAGCGTGGCTGATGGCTCCAGTCTATTGGGGTGTGCACCTGCTGGAAATCGGATCCGGCGTCCCACGTACAGAAACGTTCTTTGCGAGTTCGCTGAGGTGGAGACGATTGCTCTCATCATTCACGACAGTGAAACGGATTGTGAACGAATTGCATGCATGCCGCATTGGAAGTTCACGGTACCTTGCTCTCATCCTTCAAAGAGTATCACACAACAGCCCTCTGTGGAGCAAGAACACGGCAGACCAGATGCGTTGAGCAATTAAACCCAGCATACGATGAATTGGGAGTGGGAGATTGTTGAAGATGAACGCAGACGAATCACGAAAGCAACTTCGTATTACTACATGGTGACTGTCTGAAGAGCGGTGAATAAAGAGATGCAGCAGGCTGCTATGGAGTAAGAACATGGCAGAACGGATGTGTAAAGCAACATACCCAGCAGACGGATCGCAGATGAGTTAAAGGTGGAACACGGCGCAGTCGAATTAAATTGCAATTGGCACAGACCTATCTAAACGAAGGGCAGTGTGTGTGCGTGTGTGTGCGTGTGTGTGTGTGTGTGTGTGCGTATGTGTGTGTGTGTGTGTGTGTGTGTGAGAGAGAGAGAGAGAGAGAGAGAGAGAGTGAACCGTCGTATATTTTTTAATTTTAACGAAACATTGATGGTCCATCATACTGCGGACCCCAGACCATCTGATGCACCTGGAAGATTTTTCCTATTTTTCTAGACCCTTGGATGTATGACGATGGTACTTGGTACATCAGATAGTAATATTGGGGTTCTTTTGGAATTCCACTTTTGTGAAAGAGTTTTATGAAAAGTCAATTTTAATTATAACGGAATGGCTGTTCTCTGGGAGTGTGACAGGTAGTGATGGCACATAGCGTTGGAAGACAAATGCGCGAGATGGACTGAAGCGAGTAATATCCCGTGAAAACTACCTCATGAGAAGACAATCTAGCATTGACAGTGACCGACAATAGTCCTTGACGCCCCTTCAGTAATATAAAAGTGAATCGGAAGCTCAATGGGCTTAGCTCAGTTGGTACACCCGTGACGTAGTCTGGAAAGAGAGATCCATGTTGAAACCCCTGAAAGTACATGAAAAAGAATGACACGCTTCTGTATCACGTGGTGCTCAACAATCCGTACGCAGCTGTACATAAGAAGAAAGGCGATGAGAAAACAAGGAGCGACCACTGTTGTCCAGATTACTGTCAATTAGTGAGAAACGAGTTGAGACCCCAACCGTGCACGTCCCTACAAACACTGATCACATGCCTGAGCGTGCCGTAACTCTTCCTCTCTCGAAAGTGAGAATATCGTAGAGACAGACGCACGCGAGTTCGAACCCCACCATGCACGCTCCTACGAATGCTGATCAAGTCCAAACGGTAACCGCACCGTGCACACCCTGAAATTACTGATGAAGCGCAAACGTTCCTTAACTCCTCTCTCTACATCGCTACCAGGTCTACCTCCTTGGATGTCTCTCTCTCTCTCTCTCTCTCCACACACGGAACAGACGCTCAAACAGATCAGTTGGGAAATCCATGGACTCGTCCACGAGGTCCTTAACACTACCAAAAAATGCTAATGAAACAAATCTTTGATCTGGCCCATGATTGGGCCTATTGTCCCATGGCATGGATCGTCCAAACCATGTAATAAATATAAAATTGGAGGTGTCAGGCCTGCATATAACGACCTGGATCGATGCGGAGTCTTAGACCTCGAGTACCTCGTCTTGCTATTGAAGCTGAGCCTGAGAATGCCCTCCGCGCCAAGTTTCCGAACCTTTGAGGCCGAAGTGTCGTGTTAAAGGAGTGTCAATTGAAAACGCCCGATCATCGTACGGAAAAAACTCCACGAGCCGTACGGCTCATAAAGTTTCTTCACGCGCTTCCTCTATGCCGTTGTGTATATGCTGTCGTTTCATTCCTTGGGTAAACCGGTAACACGAGAATGCTGAGTGACCGTCGTCACACGCCCACTGACGAACAGCCATCACAAAGTCCTCCGCGGGGTGATCATACCGCCAGCTACAGACGTCCCCCACTGTCTGCTATGTCCATACTTGAACAGGCTATGTTCTTGTCATTACAGGGACGGAATGAGTGACAAAGAAAGGATTGGACATATTTCTACACAATCTTCTCTCCTTTTAGCGACTGGCTGGCCGCCTCTTTTTTTATCCCGTTTCCGCGGTTGGCTACGGGGAGGGGATGGACACCGGGGGAAGGGGGGGAAATGACGCTAACATACACACATACACATCCTGATGAATTGGTCAGTATGGAACGGTCATATAGTGAATACGGCAACACACACACACATAGGGTAGAGTGGGTTTTATGAGTGTGACAGATTAGTTCCTCAGACTTACTGCTGTTCTTGTCCAAACGGTTGCCCCAAAAATAAGAAATAAAATGGACAAGGTAAAATCGTATATCAAAACGGCTTCTGGCATCATCAAAAGGGATAGGGGTCGAAACTTGTGGCCTGACAGTTTGTAACATTGGTGTGAGTAAAGTCGACCATCAGTCAAATGAATTCGGGGCAGACTGTCCGGTTCAACCTCTTGATGAGTTGGTGAAAGTTTATGGAACAGTCTGGCACAATCATGCTTTTTTTCAGTCTGTAGTTAATTTGACAACTCACAAACAGAAAGGCGCAATCCCCGTCCGCTTTCTTCATCCTGTGTCCTGCCCCCCCTTTTTCCCTGCCCCCCGTATAACCTGTGATGGGGACGGTGGACGGTGAGGTATGCGTATTTATGAGAATGGTGTGAGAAGGTTAATGGAAGGCCGAAAATATGGGGGGGTTCGTCGAATCATAACGTCATCGAAAATTTGGGAACAAAAATTGCAGGCTCATAAACCACTAGTACCTTTGCCGCTTTGAAAATAGCGGGCCTCCGGTGGGCCTCCGACCGTTTCGGAGGCCGAAATGAAACGACGGCTGCCGATCAGATTTATCAACAGCAGTCGTCGTCGTGGCCGGCCTCCGAAAATTCAGGCGATTGGGAAAACAGCCAGTTTTCCCTGTTTTCGCACGCGGGAAAGGTGCTAGTGGTATAATACGAACATAAAAAAAAAACCGAAATAGGTGGAAAAAGAAAAAAAACTCAAAAGCACTATAAAACCCTATTCGGAGTAGCTTTCGGAGTTCGCTAAAGTGTTCTTTGAAATCGGTATTTTTGCCAACTTTTTCGTTACTGTTCCAAGTACGTCGAAACTAAATACAAAAATACCCAACAGCACATGCATATAAAAAAATAAAATAAAAAAATCAGGGAAATATTATATATCTCAGTTTCGCTGAAAAGTTTGCAGAAAATGACACCACCTATT